CAGTTTTATTATGATTTTTTAGATAAATTTCTAGATCGCTCTGACTTTGCCTATTGTGAAATGGATACCGATTCTGCCTATATTGCCATATCAGGAGAAAAGGTAGAAGATTTAGTGAGGCCTGAATTGAAGGACGTGTTTGAACAGGAGAAGCATCAGTGGTTCCCTAGAACCGATACTCCAGAGAACAAAGCGTATGAYAAGAGAACGCCAGGTTTATTTAAGGAAGAGTGGAGTGGTGATGGTATTATAGGGTTATGTTCGAAAACGTATTATTGTTTTGGTACCAGCGATAAATTTAGCTGCAAAGGCATCAACAAACGATGCAATGATATTGACAARGATAAGTTTTTACAGGTTTTACGCACACGTCAAAGTGCCACTGGTCTCAATAAAGGGTTTCGTGTAGTCAATCATAGCATGTACACTTACAATCAAACTCGTGCTGGCTTTTCTTATTTTTATCCTAAGCGAAAAGTGCTAGATGATGGAGTAACTACCATTCCTTTAGATATTTAGAAATGTCAAGAATGTATTGCAAATGTTAATAAACTGATTTTATTTCTAATTAATGGCTTGATCGTTTGAAGGTTCAGGGGTGGAGGTTTAAATGACGAGGAAACAAGGTATGGGTATCATTCTGGTTCTAGCTTTGATGCAGTCATAAACAAAAGTATGTTTGACGATGTCGAAACAKAACTTTCATCTACTCTCTAAAATTCTGCAAACGGGCCGTACAAATAAAAAAGGATAGMCTCCAATATGCAGCTTGTAATACAATGTTTGGTTTATTTAAAGTTAAAAGACAAAGAACTTAATTACATGTGCCTTCATTGTAATAGTTTATATTCCGAAACAAAATAACAATAAAAAAATTATGTTTTTATTACAGACATTACCTTACATTCTGTTTGAAAAAAGGAAAAGTTGTTAAAAATGGAAGCTAGGAAATTTTAATTTTTGTTTAATAAGCAGTTTTAATTGCTTCGATGCACTCCGGGCTGGCTTTCATGTTTTGCTCCGAAAATCTGTACGATTTCGTATTTGTCCACTC